AAGTTGCCCAAGTAAGAAAAATATGTTAAGTATATGTAAAAAGATCAGCATGTGTCTTTCATATTTTTCAGGGTTTTTTCAGTTATTTATAAGACCATAGGTAATTAAGAGCAGGAACTATGCTTTATACATTTTTTTTGCAATCTCAAAGTGCATAATGTATCACTATGTGCAATAATAACATCTAGTTATTACTTGTTGAATATAAGATCTATGTTTTGAAGGAGCAGACCTATTTAAAGTTTCTTCTATGCCTCTCCCTCCAAAAGTCAAGGAACATCACAGAAGAAAGGGCACAAAGATCATAAGAAGCAGAGGTTACAGGGACTGCTGCAAAAACTGTGTATTCTGGACATGACAGGCAGTTATAGTCAAACTCTCAACGACTCTGGTTGTCTACACCAGACGTACACAAGCTCAATCTAGTCATTGTTCCAGCGTTGCGGTGGGACTCACAAAGCCCCAATCCTAGTTGAGAAGCTATAGGCTTTCAATGACTACAGAGGGGGCAGTTTTTCTCAAGGGTAGAGCCTGTGGTGAATTGTCCATCCTACAGTGGATGGCCCTATACCTTCATGCATGTGAGCAGCACCATTTGGACCAATCGGACTCGGTACAATATACAAATGTAAGAGGATACACCGTTGGGAATACGATATGGGGGGAAGTACCTGGGAGAAGTTGGAAGTGAGGAGTCAGGAGTGGATTTGATCAACATAAAATATATTCATGTTGAATGGGAATTTTTTTCAGAAACTGGCTAACACAAGTAAGTGCTGAAAAGAAAAAAAAACCCACAAAGTTCCTTGTAGCTGTGAAATTGTGGGCTACCGTGTTTGAACTTATTATTCTTACACGCAACAAAAAGAAACTGAGAAATCGGTACCTGTTTTCCCAATCTTTGATGTAGATAGTCCACATTTTTTTTTAAATAATGACTAAATGACAACTTTAGAAAAGGGATCATGCCTCACCAGTCTTTGCTTTCCAGTAATCACCAGGCATACAGCAGTTATCTAACCCTGTGCTGCCTTTGCCCTGTGCCTTCTTTCCTAGATGATCCTGGGCATTCAGTGTGAGCTCCAGAAACAGCTCAGGAATTTCATTTCCTTGGATCAGCTTCCTATGACTCCTCAGTACAACGAGGGGCGGTGCCTTGAAGGAGGGAAACAGCCGAGGTTTGCTGCTGTCCCTTCTGTCTTTGGCAAGGGTATAAAATTTGCCATCAAGGAGGGCATAGTGACAGCTGATATTATAGGAGTAGCCAATGAAGATAGCAGGCGTCTTGCTGCCATTCTCAACAATGCTCATTACCTGGAAAACCTGCATTTTACCATAGAAGGGAGGGACACTCACTACTTCATTAAGCTCGGGTCTCTGGAGGAAGACCTTGTGCTCATTGGTAACACTGGGGGGAGGCGGATTCTGGAAAATGGTGTTAATGTCACTGTGTCTCAGATGACTTCAGTGTTGAATGGGAGGACTAGACGGTTTGCAGATATTCAACTCCAGCACGGAGCTCTGTGCTTCAATATCCGGTACGGAACGACTGTCGAAGAGGAGAAGAACCACGTGTTGGAGATGGCCAGACAGCGCGCGGTGGCCCAGGCCTGGACTCAGGAGCAGAGGAGGCTACAGGAAGGGGAAGAAGGGACTCGGGTATGGACAGAGGGGGAAAAGCAGCAGCTTTTGGGCACCGGGAGGGTGCAGGGGTATGATGGGTATTTTGTTTTGTCTGTTGAGCAGTATTTAGAACTTTCAGACAGTGCCAACAATATTCACTTCATGAGACAGAGTGAAATAGGCAGGAGGTAACAAAAGAAATCTCTGCCTTTGCGTCACCAAAGACTGCCTGTTTTTAAAACAAAACAAAACAAAACAAAAAAAGGTTTATTGTATTGGTTTTCTAGATCAGAACTCTGTATATGTAAATATGGAGGAAAAACATATCCAACTGCCTTTCAATGTGACAGAAGATGGTATTTTAATATTGTTTGTTTAAACTCTTTAAGAAATGACAGAGATTTTTAGTTCTTGTGTGGCAGTATTCAAAAGAACACAAGCTGAATTCAAACAGCTAACACAAATGTTTTCAGAAAGCACCACTTTCAATTTGTTGAGCCATGCATATGTTCAACTACATAAAAAGAACCCAAGGCTCTCAATTTCTATTGTGACACCAAGTTTCACATCTAATTGTTGGCAGAACTTAAAGGCTACTTAAAAAAAAAAGAATATGGTGCAATAGTATCTAAACCTTGCATCTCAAAAGACTGCCAGCCCCCTTACATTGTCCAGATCTGTTCTAGGAAACTTAAAAGGAAATAGAAAATATCAAGCACCATCTCCTGGAGTCAGAAACTGTTTTCCCTCCTTTCCTGATTTTTCCTCCTTGCCTGTTAAAAAGTAAATGCCATGTCGTTGTGCTGTGTTTTGGCGTGTGGTGGCTTCAGTCTACCATACCTTGCTGTGGGTGCAGTAAGCAGGCTGAAGAGCCGCTGATTTGCTTGTGTGTATGTGATACCAAAGCAGCTGGTCGATGTGACCTCTCTCACATAATCTGTTTTGACTCAATTTTTTCTCCATTTGCCCAGCTGTATTGGCATCATGTAAACATAGCTTTTATTAACCTGGGTAGGAATTTCTCATTTATATATAGGATGTGCTTTGGTCATAGTTTCACATTAGTAATTCAGTATTTATACACTAATCCAATGGTTTGTGCACATGAAAGGTAATATACTAAAATGGATGGTTCTGATACAAGAAAAGAGGCTTTAACAGGTCTATGTGCCTGTGATGCTGAGAAACAAATTAACTACTGCTGCAGAAATTCCTAAGAGCCAAAACCTTAGAAACAATAGACCTTGCATTACAGTGAAAATGAGATGAAAGCCAACATAACAATAGTTGCTGCCTCATCATTTCCTCCCACTTAGAGTCATCTTTCAAATGTACAATTTTGTATTGAATCTCCCAGCCATATGCAGAAAATTGAATTAAGTGAATCCTTTCCAACTTAAAGCATTTCATCTATTACCGAGGGGCAGACTAGTTTTTCACCAATGTAATTTATGTGGTTATTTTAGTTCTCTGTCTTTAATCTACGTTTTTTTTTTAATAATTTTTCCACCTAGGAAAATAGCTATTTTCAGGAAGGGTTGTTTGTTTCATAATTGCTCAAAATTTAGAGAAATGTCAGGGTTAATATTAATATCTGCTGCAGTTTTCTCAATCTTTTATGAATCCTGCAGTAAAAGAAGCCACTTGGTGAGCTGAGAGATTTGTGCCCATTGACAAAGAGGCAGTTTATAAAATGCTGTGTAATTGCGAGTTGCTGCAAATGAAAATTCATGACAGCACAGTGGGTCCAGTAGAAAATTCCCAGGAGCCAGCTTCTACCCTCGCATCACCTGATGAACATTTGCTATCTATGGAGGAGAATTTATGATAGACTGTTTATTTAAATTCTTTCCAGCTACTTCCTAAGTACAATATGGGGTCATTGTCCTGGGTTGTAATGACAGTTGCCTTGGAAATATACAAAGTCAGAATCCAGGCTCATATTAAGATTTTTGTTTTAAGAATCTGACTCTCATTATACAAACAATGAGGGAGAGGGACCCCAGAAAATATTAGAGGAGGGTGTATTGAAATATTTCATTCTTAAAACCTTCAGGTTCAGATCATCACATACATGTGGTGAGAACGGGGGAGGAAGAGAGAGAGAGAGAAACAGAAAGAGAGAGGGAGAGAGAGAGAGAGAGAGAGAGAGAGAGAGAGAGAGAGAGAGAGGGAAACCATGATGAACTCATCATTTAGCTTTGTAATTGGAAGCACACCAGCTCCAGATATTGCTAATCCAGACTAAAATCCCAGTATAGGGTTGTTTTTTTTTTTCCAAAATCAGGCTTGGGTCATCAGAACAGTATTCACAGTGGAATACTAACAAGTTTCGAAAACATGTTGAAAATTTGAATACCTCCACACCAACCTAAAAATAGGTCTTAAGTTCCTAGAACCTCTGACATTCTTTTAAGTCAATGGGAAAATAATTGTTAACTGTACATAAAAGTGCACTCTTAAATGTGGTGTATTTGTATCACTAACCCAATGTGTCAATCTTGGAGTCTATTTTGCTTCTATTTTAAGTGATTGCGCTCTCTTGCAACTCACTAGTGATGTATCATTTTCAAAACCGATTTAAATATCCATTAGGAAGAACTATTTGGAGCTATTCCTTCATAGTAATTACCTTGAACTGTGCAATTCTAGTTTGTAATATGTATTTAGTTAGTTTGTGCCTTTGGTTACCTAAAGTTATATTTGTATTATATTCAGGAAATGCACTTTTTATCACTTACAACTGTGGTTTTAATACTGCCTTGAAATATTATTGTTCTCTTTACAACTCCTAAAGTTTTGAGGAGGAAAAGAAAAACCAAAAGGTTTTTAGCACTAACAAGTTGCAAATCTAAGAGAAACATTTTGGCATTTCATAAAAAGAACATGGAAATATCAGGTATATTGCTTCCTGTTGGCAGAGTAGAAAGGATGCTTTCACTGAGTTTTAGTTCTGAAGTTTAAATGAGAGGACAAATCATTTGCATTTCCTGATGACAGTGCAGCTTTGAAGGGAAAAAAATGCATGAAATTTCTCACACGCAAAAGGCAGGTGGCTCACACGACACAGCTACGTACCACTCATGCAGGTTAAAGTGAGACAATAGGATTTGATGCTCCTGTGAGGGACGTTCTGGGAGGGATACAGGAAATACTCTGTGATTGCTTCTTTTCCTTAGACCCATTTCATTGGTGTGTTTTTCGTTTTAACTTGTTTTACTATTGCGCTCCAAATGAGCTGACAAGTTCAAAAAGTTTAAAAGGTATTTAAATACAGTCATCTTTAGTTGCCTTTCCAATTGCTGTTGATTAGAAGCACGACTTTGGATGGAAAGAGAAATACAGCTCAATTCATTCTTTCACCAGAACACTTGCCATAGAAATAAGTATATGTTTTATTTTTTAATCCAGCAAAGTAATGTATAAAATAAGGATGACATTTATTCTCAAGCCACCTAGGAGCTCTATAATATATAGACGACTGCATATATATGAAATAATATATACAACATAGCCAAATATATGAACACTTGACAATGTATAATTTGGAATTCACATACTACCTACATAGAGAGGTATAACCATTCCATTCCAACTTTCCTTAGAAGTTTAGTTTCCATCACTTAGTTCTGCATTTCCTTTTTCTCTTCCTTTCCCACTAGACCTGTTCCCTTAGTAACTTTACCAGAGAGTCCAGGCAAAGCTTTTGCATTTCTGCAGATTTGTTTATGTTAAGGGCAATTTAGTTCAATTGCGATGAAAAGCAGAATCACATATCAAGAAAAATTGGAGAGAATGGAGTGTACTCTAGCTTGTAGAGAAACATGTGGCTATAGATCAGATGCACCAATCTTGTTTACTTGGAGGAATTCACATATACATAGCAACCTGCCTAATACTTCGGATCTCAGACTGCTCTTCCACAGCCTTCTGTAAGGTTCTCTATTCTGCAAAGAAAAGAAAACAAACAAAAAAAGAGCAAAAGAACAAAAACAGAAAAAAAAAGTGGAAAAACAAAACAACAAAAAAAAAACCAGTAATTATTCAACCACAAAACAGTGCTTATTTCAGTGTGTCCTTTGTGTGAAAGCTGTTAAGGACCAAATATACTACCGTGTGTAAGAAGAAATCGCTTCCTAAACAGTAATTGAACATACTTAGAGTTAAACTTGCTGTGGATTTTGTCTTGGCAGTTGTCATCTTACATTATTTGTCAAAGGAAATGTGTTTGGCAGTTAAAAAATCTTTCCTTAGATTTAGTGGTGGACTTTAACCTCTTAAATAAATGTTAGTATATCAGATTGTGTCCTTGAAAAATATTTTACGTGTATGAATCATGACAGTGTCTAAAATCTTTACTGTTCTTCTGGCAAAAACATCAGTAAGAGAAACGGTGAAAAGGAGAAGTCCAGCCTTTCTGTTCAGAAAAGGACTCTTTTTAGCTGCTTCCTTTCTCATGAAAAGTAAAGATGTTTACAGTGTATGCCAAGATTTTCAGTTTCTATGTAACAACAGTTAGAGGTTCTAATCATACTGAAAATTGTGTTATAATGGCCTGAGCCGTGTTGCTAGGAAACAATAGGTTCCAATTTTGTATTTCTGCTCTCCTGTGCTGAAAAGTGACTGGATACTGTACAGGTTCATGTTCTCTGGCTGCAGTTCCATGGTCTTTTGCATTTTGCTCTGGCTTTCAGGCCGGAAGCATGCATTTTTTTTCTACAAGAGCATCACAACAACATGCTGTAAATATTTAAAGTTAAACATTCTGTGTCAATATTTGAAAGAAAAGTACTTTGAATATTTCATTTTTAAAAAATAAAATTGCAAATGAAGGTCGTGTCCCATTTTATTTCACGCGCCAAACTGCATCCCGATGTCAATCTGCTCAATTGAGATAGGAAAGGGGGCTCCTTGACAGGGAACAGTAAAGGCCACGAGGCCAGCCTGGTCTACAGAGTGAGTTCCAGGACAGCTAGGGCTAAACAGAGAAACCCTGTCTCGAAAAACCAAAAAAAAAAAAAAAATGTAAGTGCGGAAATCAGAAAAGCACTAATCCTAGGCAGAAGTCCCTTCATTTTTATTTTTCATACAAATAGGATCAGTGACACAAATGCACAAATGATCACGTAATAAACAAACAAGAGTGGCTGCAGTGAATTAAATGCCTCTAGGTTATGACGTTTTAAAAGGCTTGCTCTCTTTTTCTGGTGCCTTCCTCGGAAATAAAGAAAAATTAAATTAAAAAAATATATAACCTGGTGATGGAGAGCTAGAAGACCATGATATCTTAATGCATTCCCAAAAATATAGGATGTTTGGAGGCAGGAGTGACAATCATGACAGACTATACAAAGAAACAACAGCTCCACAGGCCCTATACCACAGGTTTTGACAATTAACATTTTTTACTTACTTTTCATACAGAGACATTTGTAAATGAAACTGGGAAATCTGCCAATAGGACTTCGGATGTTTGACTTAATAGTAATGGCATCCATGTGACTATATAACATTCCTTACTGAAATTTTTCATTTACAACACTTCAAAATGCCCTCCTCCTATTTCTGCTGGTTGGTTCTATATAAACTATCACTGTCATATATGGCATTAGATTTATATGTACATATATATATATATATATTCACATACATATATAGGACATCACATATACAATGTAAACTCTAAGCAAGAGAGCAGTGGAACAACCAAACTGGACCACTCCCTGGGTGGCTGCCATAGCTGTCTCTTGAAAGACAGAGAGAATAGCAAAGGGCAGAGAAAGCCTTACAGGTTTCTTTCTTTTTTTTTTTTTTTTTTAATAGATGGGTGTTGCAGTGAGAAGGAGCCTGGATGTTAGAGTAGATGGAGGAGAATGTGAACCAGAAGAGCTAGGGGTTGGGGATTGGCTAGTATGGGAACTAGATACCCTGCTGCCAGAGCTAGCCAGCTGTATGGGCAAATTAAAGGAAGTAGGGGTTCCTCCAGACCAACAGAAACCCACACTTCGCTAGTTTCTACGGAATGCTGATCTTAGGCTTCTGTTTATCAGCCACTAATCCTTCTGCTTAACCACAGTCCAACCTAAGCTGAGCCCAGACTGTAATTTAGACATTGTCAGTAGCACTGGCATTTTGGGGACCCACTATGAGCCTAACATACACACGTAGAGAAAATGACTTAGGAAGCAGAAGATACCCTTGTCTTAATACAAAGGAGGAAAGCTTTTACTTTCACCTGAGGATTTTTTTTTTAATTGTGCATTCTATCTGGCTGTTGTATTTTAAAAAAATGGCAGGAGCCCTACTTTTAACAAAAGTTTGTCTGTGTTTCTTCCCTGTTCATCTTTACCTTTAATATTTGAATATGCACACACACATTTTGTACTATTACTACATTAAACTCATGGAATTCTAGTGCTTCAATAACCCAGAGGTATGACTAAGATTTAATTATTCCTTCTTGGCAGATGTCATAAAGGTATCAGACTGACTTAGCTACTAAGATCACACAGACTATAAGTGACAAAGATGAAAAGAAAATACCAAATTTCACTATCAAATATGCCATCGCCACCTATCGTCTTGTGAGAAGGCAAACAAATGTCAGGAATTGGGTAGAGTCATCAAGGTGTGTGTTGGGGGGGGAGGATTCTCTATGTTAATAGGTTAATGGGTTCTATCTATCCAATTTGTCACATTTGTTACATCAAAACATGTTCTTTTATAAAAACAAAAGGAGGGGCAAGAGCAATAGTTCTGTCAGTGACATGTTTGCGGCATAAGCATGAGAAGCCAGGAATTCAAAGTGGGACCCACTCCCAAGCCTAGCTTGGCAACACAGCACTGGACTAGATGGGGAAAGAAAAATGGACAAAAAAAATCTCCTCAGTGGATAGGAGGAATGGGAGTAGAGAGGCTGATGCAGAGTGGTTATGAGAAGACTTGGGAAGGGAGGGGGAATATACTCAAAATTCATTAATTAACAAAATTACTTGATTGTTTTTGTTTGATGTTTTGTTTTGTTGTGTTTTGTTGTGTTTTGTTGTGTTGTGTTTTGTTTTGTTTTGTTTTGTTTTGTTTTGTTTTGTTTTGTTTTG